TACTCTTGGATATCGGTCTTAGCAACATATTTATGGATATGTCTTCTCAGGCAAGGGAAACACAAAGAAAAATAAACTATTGGGACTACACTAAAATAAAAAGCTTTGCACCGCAAAGGAAGCCATCAACAAAACAAAAAAGTAACCCACAGAATGGGAGAAGATATTTGCAAAATGATATATCCCATAGGGGGTTAATATCAAAATACACAAAGAACTTATACAACTCATCACCAAAAAAATCCAAACATTACAATGAAAAAACAGAGGATCTGAGTAGACATTTTTCCAAAAAAGACATACAGATGGCCAATAGACACATGAAAAGATGCTCAGTATCACTCCTCATCAGGGAAATGCAAATCAAAACCACAATGAGATATCATCTTTTACTTGTTAGAATGGCTAGTACCAAAAAGACAAGAAATAACAAGTGGTGGTGAGGATGTGGAGAAAAGGGAACACTTGTGCACTGTTGGTGAGAATGCAAATTGGTGCAGTTGATATGGAAAACAGTATGGAGGTTCTTTGAAACATTAAAGATATAAATACCATGTGATCTTGTAATTCTAGTACTGGGCATTTACCCAAAGAAAATGAAAATACTTATTCAAAAAGATATATGCACTCTGAGTTTACTGTATCAGTATTTACAATGGTCAAGATATGGCTAAGTGTCCATTGATAGACAAATCAATAAAGAAGATGGGATACACACACAAAGCACACACCCACACCTGCACGCAATGAGATATTATTTAACTATAAAACAAGAATCAGATCTTGCCATTTGTGACAACAGGAATGGCCTTAAAGGGAATTATCCTTAGTGAAATAAGTCAAACAGAGAAAAACAATACCATATGATTTCACTTATACGTGTAATCTAAAAACCAAAACAAACAGACTCTTAAATACAAAGAACAAACTGGTGGTTGCCAGAGGGAAGGGGAGTTGGGGGATGGACAAAATAGATGAAGATTAAGAGGTACAAACTTCCAGTTATAAAATAAGTAAGTTACAGAGATAGAAGTACAGCATAGGGAATATAGTCAATAATACTGTAACAATGTTGTATGGTGACAGATGATGACTTATTGTGCAGAGTATAGAGTAATGTACACAAATGTTGAATCAATATGTTGTACACTTGAAACTAATATAACACTGTATGTCAATTATACTTCAATTAAAAAAAGCACAGCAAACTTTGTGGCACTTTGATGGACCCTAGTCCTATCCCCTGTTCCACAGCTCATCACCGCTTGTGAAAATAATAACTGATTTCTAATCATGGCAGGTGCAGAATGAGCTAATTTGCAAAGAATTATAATTATTTGTTCTAACCTGTCTGGTGGCTCCCTGGAATACAGGTTCAAAAAGCTTGTCTTTATTTTCCCTAACTCAAAACTGGCCTAATTCTAAAGCTGCTTCCCTGGAGGCATTTTTTTTTTTTAAAGATTTTATTTATTTATTTGACAGAGAGAGAGACAATGAGAGAGGGAACACAAGCAGGGGGAGTGGGAGAGAGAGGAGCAGGCTTCCCGCTGAGCAGGGAGCCTGATGCAGGGCTCAAGCCCAAGACCCTGGGATCAGGACCAGAGCCGAAGGCAGATGCTTAACGACTGAGCTACCCAGGTGCCCCCCTTGGAGGCATTTGTTGAAATCTTTTACAGGCTAATATTTTAGCCACCGCTGACTGAGGTGACAGAAAACAGTTGGGAAAACAACAGATTAACCAAAAAGCTTGGGAGGAAAGGCTGAAGAATGGGATGCTCTGACATTCCTGGGAATCTAGAAGTCTATGTGCATGCTCAGAGCTGTGAGCATGCTCAGAAAAGACCTGAAAATGACAAAAGTTCTCACTACCTGATGACCTTGAGTGTCTTTGGAAACACAAAGTAAAGGCTAAGGCAGAGTTGTAAACTGCCTGGCTGAGTATGGAAGGCAATCTCCAATACATACACAGAAACCATGGCAAAGACTGGAAGAATTTTGGGCTCTCGGCATTTAAGGAAACTCTGTCCAATTATTAGCTGATCACTAAGCTAATAAAACAGATTTCAGTGGCCACACATGACAAAAAAATACAGACTTCATAAAATTAGTTCAAAAAAGCACTAAACAAACAACTACAATAAGACCAAATAACAAATCCTAGAAAGGAGACAGAATCTGGTTTCTAGAGTTGCCAAGTTATAATATTCATAATATCTGGTCTTCAATAACAACAAAAAAAATTACAAGGCCTGCAAAGAAAAAAGACAATATGTCCCATACAAAGGACTAAAGATATAGAAACTGTGTCATCATCACTGTTAAATGCTACAGCACGGATGAACCTTGAAAACATTATGCGAAGCCAAACACAAAAGAGCACACACTACATGATTCTAATTACATGGGATGTCTACAATAGGCAAATTCATAGGGACAGAAAGTAGGTCAGTGGTGGTCATGGAAGAGGAAGGCTGAGAATTGGAATTAACTGCTAACAGGTAGAGGGTTATTTTACTTTTTTTGGTGTGATGAAAATGTTCTCAAATTAGATAGTGGTCATGGTTGCACAACACAGTGAAGAGACTAAAAACCACCAAAGTGTATGTACTTTTAAATGGTGAATTTTATGTTATGTGAAATATATCTCAATACAAAATTCTATAAAAAGCTGGCAACATACGTTGTATTTAATAATGAAAAGATGACATTTTAATAAATAATTTCAATGATGAAATAAATTTCAATGATGGAAGGTTTTGAGATTGGAAATGAAACAAGGATACTTGCTATCATCACTTCTATTCTACATGTATTAGAGATCCTAATTAGCACAAATAAAAGTATAATATACAGATAAATAGAATTGAAAAATAAATTTAGCAAGGTTGCTGGATATAAGGTAATTACACAAAAATCAATTATATTTCTAAATACCAAATAGAATTAGAAAGTGAAATTTAAGAAACAATATCATATATGGTGTCATCTAAAAACACTAAATACCCAGGAATAAATCCAAGGAAAAAATATGCAATATGTACATACAAAAAGTTGTAACACATTATTAAAAAAATTTTAAATATGTAAATGAATGGGTTTATTCATGGTTTTTAGAATCAATGCTGTCTGGATATCAATTCTTCAAAAATTGATCTACATATATTCAATATACTTCAAATTAAGTATTTCAGCTGAATAATTCGTGGAAAATGACAAGCTACTTTAAAAATTTATATGAAAACATAAAGTGGTAATCTTATAGAAGGAAAAATAAGTTGGAAGATTATTGCACCAGGTACTTATTATAAATCTACAATAGTTAATACTGTATGGTATTGGTGCAAGATGTACAAGTAGATTAATAGAACAAAGTAGAAAGCCTGAAAACAGACCCACACAGTTATGAACACTTATTTTAAATAAGGATGGTATTTGTAGAGCTGTAGGAAGCAGTATTTTCATTAAGTGAGCCAACTGGTTTGGCAAACTTTTGAAAAAAAATTTACATTTAAACATTACTTCACCCAAACACAAAAATAAATTCCAGATTATTGATCTAAATGTGAAAAACAGAACATTAAAGCTTATAGAAGGATTTAGTAATATTTTTATGACTTTGAGGTAGGAAGAGATTTAAACACAACACACAAAACACCAAGTATGGAAAGGAAAGGAAAAGCATGATGATTAAAATTAGTAACTTTGGTCATCAAAAGACACCATTAAGAGAGTGAAAGGGCAAGCCAGAGTGGGATAAAATATGTGCAGAAGATCTATTTATGAAATATATAATGAACTCTTTACAAATCATTATTAGAAAACACAGGCAAACCAATTAAAAAAATACTTGAAAAGACTTCACATAGAAAATTATCAGGGTCCAATAAGCATAAGAAAAGGTGTTCATTCAATCTTATTGATCAAAAAATATTCAAATTAAACCATAATTAGATTTCACTACATACCTACCAGAATGGTTAAAATACAAAAGACTTGACCAAGTGTTGGCAAGAATGTAGAGTAACTAGAATTTTCACATCCTGCTGCTGAAGTATAAGTTGGTAAAAACATTCTAAAAAACTGTTTAGAAGGAAAGTTGAGCTTTACTGCAACTTAACTTCAAAATAGAAATTTACACATATGCATACTAAAGTACAATAACATTCATAGGACAATTATTTATTGTAGTGAAAAACTGGAAAAAATACAATTTTCAACAAAAAAAATTCTGCTATATTTCTAAATGAACTATTACACATTAATGAAAACGAACAACCTACTGCTACACACAACAATGGACAAATCTTACAAATATAAGACTAAATGGAGGAAAGCAGATGCAAAAGAGTACATATGGAATGTGTTATGGACTGAATGTTTGTGTTCTCCCCAAATCCTATGTTGAAATCCTAACCCCCAATGTGATGGTATTAGGAGGTGGGGCCTTAGGGAGATGATCAGGTCATGAGGGTGGAGCCCTCATGAATGGGATTAGTGTCCTTGTCAAAGAGACCCCAGAGCACTCTCTCACCTCTTCTGCCATGTGAGGACACAGCGAGAACACTGCGGTCTATGACTTAGGAAGAGGGCCCCCACCAGACACCGAACCTGCCGGCGTCTTGATCTTGGACTTCCCAGTCTTCAGAACTGTTAGAAATAAATGTGTGTTGTGTAAGCCACCCAGTCTATTATATTTTTGTTATAGCAGCCTGAATGGACTAAAACAGGATGATTCTATTTAGAAACTTCAAACAGCAGGTAAAACTAATCAATGATGTTAGAAGTCAGGATTGTTTTATCTTTGTGGAAGAAAAGGAAGGTAGAGACCAGGAGGAAGAACAAGGGAGGCGTCTGGAAAAATGGCAATATTTTATATCTTCTTGATTTTGGCAACAGTCAACTTGGTTCACCTTGTGACAATTCACTGAACTGTATACTTATATTTTATGTACTTTTCTGTATTTTATTTAATTAGAATAAATTTTTTAAAGTTTACTTACCTGTTTTTTCTGTGTTTTGTTTCTGTTTTCTAGCCAATCATCCATTTGTTCCTCAATTTCTTCTATAGAAGTTCCATGATCATAAGATTGAATATATGCACTTTCTAAAGGCATATATACAGGAAATTCAGGTTTTGGTTTTTTTACTTTAACTTTCTTCTGTTCTAAAAATGTTTAAGAGAATAAATTATTGAGGTTTGTTAAGAAAGAAAATAATTTTTAACATTTTATTCATATACCGAATCTTGAAAAAACATATATTGTTCTTTCATCAAAACAGAATTATATACAATGGAATATAATTCAGCCATAAAAAGGAATGAAATCTTGCCATTTGCAACAATATGGATGGACTGCAAGGGCATTATGCTACGTGAAATAAGTGAGAGAGAGAGAGACAAATACTGTATGATCTCTCTTATGTGGGGAATCTTAACAAAACCAAACACCCCAAAAAACCCAGCTCACAGATATAGAGAACAGATTGGTGGTTTTCAGAGGCGGGTGTGGGGAGTGGGAGAAATGGGTGAAGGGGGTTAAAAAAAATTACAATTGCTTTGCTATAAATAACTAGCTGTTTTATTGTGCATTAGCTACTGCACTGTTTTTAAATGAAACTCAGAGATACTAATGATGAGATGATGATCACGATATAACCACCATGTCAATTTGTATATATCTTTAGTTTTCAAAGTACTTTTTATGAAACGTTTCATACTAACACAATGAAAAAAGCCTGGTCATAATAGTGACATAATATTGGGCAAATAACTTAACCCTTAGAACAAGTGTCTATTTTCTCATCTGTAAGAGAAAGCTAAATCTAATCTTATAAAGCTGATATGTGGAAAATGATATAACGCTAACATACTACTTGGTGCAAAAGTGGCTCTTGATAAATAGTATATACATTCACCTTTTCGATATTTTAACAAATGCAAAATCTAATCTGATGGCACCAGGGGTAGTTATTAATAGATGGCTATCAGCTGGCCTCTTCATTAAAGCCCTTTTGATTAGAGTCAATATTGAGAAGCAACTCCATTCTTAATTGCTATAGTCAAATTCTGTAGTCAAATTTCTTATAATCATATCCTCACCATTGTGTGTACATGTGTGTTTGCATATTCTCTAATGCTGATGTAGTAAAACTAATACAATATTGTCATAGAAATAGATAAATTCCTAGAACACAGAATCCATAAACGTTTCAATTCAGTGGGAAAAGGATTTAATAAATGATGCTGGGACAATTGAATATCCAGTTGAAAGAAAACTGGACAGAATCTTACACAATACACAAAAATAAATTCCAGTTAGATAAGAGACTTGACTTTAAAAACCCAAATAATAAACATCTTGCAAAAAGAAATCTAGAAAACTACACGCACTATTTAAAGGATGAGGAAATCTTAACTAAAATGGAAATACAGATGCTATAAAAAGATAAAGGAGAGAATAAAGAAATCAAGAGAGAAATAATACATTTGAAAGGAATATCTACAATTCAGAGTACAAATGATGACTGATACAGAGAACATATAAAGAGATATTATAAATTACAAGAGGATAAGGACCCAACAGAAAAAAATGGGCAAAAGTCACAAAAGAACAAATCTAAATGGCCAAGAAACAAAAGATACATGCTCTAAAGGTTAAAGAAATGCAGTTTGGATTAATAACATATGATTTTATACCTATCATATGGGCAGAAATCTAAAAATCTAATAAAAGGTACTGTTGGCCGGGAAAGGGCCATCTCTACATTGGTGGTAGAAACGTGAATTATTATATTGTAGCCTTTTTGGGAAGTGATCTAAGAGAACCTGTGAAGATTAAAAAAAAAAAATGTATTCTCCAGCAATTCCCTCAGAAGTAAAAGCATTAAAATGTAATTGTATGTAAGTACATGGGTATATATGTATGTCCGTACGATTATTTGTTATTCATAGAGATACAAAACTGTTAACATAGTAAATGTATATTAGTAGGAGAAATTAGTAGGAGAATAATTGTTCGTGATGTATCTATACTAAGGAATATTAATTTGTCATCAAAAGATATTGAAGTAGAGCTATACCGATTGACTTACAGAGATTTTCATGAGTTCAGGTAATAAAAGCAAGATGGAGAAAAGCATGTAAGATTCTCTATTTGCAAAACAAAATAATGCCTCTTCAAACCTCTACATATGCCTGTGTATATATATTTATCTAAATGTATTTGAATGTCATTATAAAAGCATGGAGAAAAATATGGATGAGTGTCTATAAGGTATACAGGGGGTAGAGATAAAGAAAAGAGGAAGCATAGAGACAATGAAGGAAAAGAGAAGGAACATATCACTAAAAAATAAGTAATATATATAAATGTATACTTATATATTTTTACAAAGTTGTAGGTATAAATATAAAAACAAAATTTAAAGACTATATAACATAAATCTATCTAAAAATACAATTTCTAAAACCAATAAACCCACAGCTTATAAATATTCACTGATTTCTTGCTACATTACTAATACAAGGCTAAGACTGTAGCATCTAACATTGTGCGCTTGGCAAAATCTTTCATATGTTAGAAAAAATGTGTTTTCAAAACATGTCTAAGGAAAAAAAAAGACGTCTATTTGCTAACTACCCTCATCTTTCCTGCAAATTTCTGGTTTCAATAAACTCTATATAATTAGTATGGGCCCAGCTACCATGAATTTTGGCATTATAAACACATCCCTATTTATAGTTCATCCAAGAAACACAAATCAATGAATCATGGAACACTACATCAAAAACTAATGATGTACTATATGATGACTAACATAAAAAAAACAAAACACAAATCTAAGATTTTTTTAGCAGCATGATGAATTTTATAGGGAAATTTTTGAGTTAAATAAAAGGTATAGAGTATTTTTGCTAGAAGAGTAAGTTTTTTAATTTTTATTTTCTTAATATACAATGTATTATGTTTCAGGGATACAGGTCTGTGGTTCATCAGTCTTATACAATACACAACACTCACCACAACACATACCCTCCCCAATGTCCAACACCCAGTACCCCCCATCCACCCACCCCTCTCCCCTCCAGCAGCCCTCAGTTTGTTTCCTCAGATTAAGAGTGTTTTATGGTTTGTCTCCCTTGGAAGAGTAAGTCTTATTAAAGTTTAGTAAGTTATAGGCTTCAAGTTAAGATAGATTGGTTCTTCTTAATGACAAGCCTGACAAAGGCTAGAAACAAAAACTAGCCAACCAACCAAACAACAACAAGAAAAATCAAACAACAAAATCCAAAATAAACAAATCAAAAAAGAAGTAAAACCCATGCTACCTTAAGTGTCTAGTGACTGAAGAGAAATGATTTCCTCTCAAAAGAAAAATTTATTCAATATGATTGTCAAAGGAATGAGAAATGAGCCAAATATCATTTTAAGGGAGTCCTTCCATTTAAGGCTCTTATTCAACAAAATGATGCAGTTTGGGTCCAGGAACAAAAAACAAAAAAACAAAAAACTCTGGCATAAGTTGCCTACCTTCTCATATATTTGGAAACTTACACTAAACAATTCGACTAATAAGTCAGCCATTTAGATCAAATACTTCCTGTCACACATTGCAACAGTGTTTATTATGCTAAGACACATTTGCTGAATAGTAATTTGGGCTCTTTGACCATGAACCTGAGGATATTCTTTAGGTCTTTTCTTTCCTTTTTAAAGATTTTATTTATTTATTTGACAGAGAGAGTGAGCGAGCGAGCGAGCGAGAGAGAGAGGTGGAGCAGCAGGCAGAGGGAGAAGGAGAAGGAGAAGCAGGCTCACCGAGCAGGGAGCCCGATGCGGGGCTTGATCCCAGGACCCCGGGATCATGACCTGAGCCGAAGGCAGATGCTTAACTGACTGAGTCACCCAGGCGCCCCTGTTCTTTAGGTCTTGATTAACACTTGTACCTCTACGGTTTTGAAAAGAATAGAAAAGAGTTTAAACTGAGAAAGTCATAACATCTTAAGTTATTACCTTCTTTTTTTAGCAGGCACAGAGAATTTCTCTTTGGAAATGCTGAGACAATAGTGCAGCAGATATTAATGAAATGTAACTTGGAAGAGGAAAAGGAAGGAAGTTTTAGTCAGTTTTGAGCACTATACTTAAAATCCAGAACTGAAAAACTAGATTATGTCAGAAAAGTTATCAGAATAGTAAGGAGATTTGAAATCATGTCATTAATATGAAAAGTGGTAGAAAATGAGAAAACAAGAAGTCAGAAAAACTAGGTTCTGTATCTTTAGTCATTCACCAATACATTAGTATTTCCTTCACATTACTTATCTCTAAGTCTGCACCTGTAAAATGAAATATCTGCTCTACCTATCTCACAGCACAGTTGCAGAAATGAAACCTTGACTTGTACAGGAATGTGCTCTAAATATTAAGGAGGGATAGAACTATGTGTTAAACTAAGCTCTTGATAAAATTCCCTTCACTTCCATCTGCTTCTTCCAATATAGTTCCCATTCCTTCGACCTACTGGGGTCCCAAACCTTGGAGTCATCAATTTCTCCTTCTCTCTTACATCCTGTATGAAATCCAGTAGGAAATCTTGTTTCTAACTTCAAAATACGTAAGAATTCCATTTTTTTACTTTTATCACTCTGATCCAAGTCATCACCATTTCTTGTCTGTCGTACAACAACTCCCAACTGGTTGGTCTCCTTGTATCAAGTCCTTGTTTCAGTCTTTCTTAACCTCCCAGCCAGAATTCTTAGAACATGTATCAAATCATGTCACTCCTCTGCTCAACCTTCCTAGAACTTCCCATTCCAGAGTAAAATCCAAGTTCTTACTCTAAGTGAGTATGCCTCCCATCCCCACCCATTCATCATCTCTCTGACCTCATTTTAATATTCTCCAGCCTCCTTGCTGTTCCTAAAAAATGCAAACCTTTCATCAGTTGCCTTTTCCTGAAAGCCACTCCCTCACCTGCCTTGCTTACTCCCTAACCTCCTGCAGGTCTTTGCTCAAATGTCTCTCTATTACCGAGGCCTTCCTTGTCCCTGCAGTAGGCCTGCCACATCCACATATATATATACATGTGCTCCCCATCCCTTTTCCTTGATACTCTTTACTTCAGCATTTATCACTACTCATCTTTTTTTTTACTTTAAATTTT